TTGATTAATATTTATCTGTGTATATTTTCTAAAAACTTTCATTATTATTTCTTTTAATTCCTAAATTTCTTATTATTTTATTTTATATTGAATGATTAAAATCTTCTTTGTGAAATTATTATTAATATTTTATTTATCTCTTATTAATAAAACTTTTTACAGAGGTTTTTAGCATCAGTAAAATTCTTCCTTATCATTTTAATATGTAGATTCTTCTATAATATTTTTTCCATTGAAAACATTCGCTTCGTTCATTTTATTCCTTAATAAAAGCTAATTCGTCGCTTTTATGTTTTCACAGAGTTCTTGCATCCGTTTTGTCTACTATTAGAAACTTTCTTCATGCTTTTCTCGCTCATATAGACTCGTCCTCATTGCCTTCTTACAATACACCCTATTTTATTCGTTCATAGATTCCGTTTTACTGATTTGTAGGATTCCCTGAAATCCCTGTATCATCATTAGTTGGAATCTTCTTCAAGAAGTCCGCAAGATAAAAATTTTAAATTCAATATGCTTTTTGCAATATTCTTTCTCGACCTGTTTATATTGAAAATTATATACAAAGCAGAGTCGCGAGAATGTTACTTTTTCGTTGTTGGAATGCTTTTCTCGCTCGGAAAACGCTCTGTGCCTTATTGTATGTTCTGCATGCTCGCAAAATTCTTCTCGTCGTTCTGCACGTTCGCGGATTCTTTCATGCAAAATCTTTACTATCGTTTTTCACGTTTCATAAAATTCCATATCTTTTGTTTCATTGCAGAAGTTTTTTGTCGTATTTACAATTTTATTTCCCGAAATATTCCAAAAAAGATTTTTTCCGGATTTGCACTTTGGCTCTATATTACAATTTATGAAAAAAAAAAAAACAAATTCAAATGTAATAAATAATTAAATGAACTGTACAATTATAAACTTTTTATTAAATAACTTTTATTAATATTAAAAATGAATTTGAAAAGATGAATCTTAAATTTTTTGTAAAGAACATCTGAGTTTTTATAATATTTATGATTTATAATTTTTATGAAGAAATCTACACTTTTGTACAGGTTATATATATAAAATTTTTAATATAAATAATATAAATAATTTCAAGAAAAGATTTCTAAATATACATGCAGAATCGAATTAGCTTTAGTATCAGGTTGCTCCTCGCTCTGATGAAGTGAACTGCAATGTTTACGAAACGTTGGCAATCTAATAATATATTTAATAATAATGAATCTATACACAGAAATAACCCATTAAACGAATAGCTTTTGTACAGAACCGAATTATTATGTTTCTTAAAAAAATATATATATATTTAACACAAATAAATAATCTTAATTAAGGCGAATATCTGAGAACGTGCAAATGCATTATAAAATGATATCGCTTCGTTATAAAAGAAATGTTTCGTTAATATTTGTTTAGTATTATTCTTGGCTCGTTGAATATCCCAAATTTCACTACTTTAAAATCCTCCGAGTATGACGGATTTAAGTAAATCAAAAAATTCTCGTAGTAGTCGACTGCAGCGGTTCTAAACGATACTTCGTTAAGGGATGCACCTGGGTACATTCGCGTTGCAGCTGCAGGCGGTTCCCTATTTGCTCGTTAGCACATTGCGATGTTTACTAAGTTCCTTCCACAGCGAGTTCGTGGAAACGAGGGGGTTATTACGTGGGAGAGATTGATATTCATATAGTTAAGATAAACATTTAATTTTAGGCCTTTAAAATCTCTAAATTCTCAGATTTTGAACACACGCTTTGTGTGTTCAAAATCTGATCTTAAATTCTGAATTTTCTTTGATTCTTGTTCAATTTTTTTATATTTTTATGCAACATTTCGTGAATTATTATTTTTGTTTAGATTATTATCATGTTATTATATAAACTTGTGTGTCACTTTTAATTGTTTACGTATTTTTGCAATTTTCTTAATTTTCTTCAATTAATTAGATCTATAGATTTTCGAATATTTCGGATCATTAGAAAAAAAAAGCATAAAAGTGTTTGAAATGTTGTAGTTTAATTTCTGGTATTTCTTAATTTTGAAATATTTAGTTTTAATAAAATATGAAAGATAACAAAAAATAAAAATGCAAATAATTTGTTTATACAAAATAAAAATAAATAAATTAAATAATAATTTTTTACATCCAGTTGAATCGAACATTCGTATATGATGTACATTACTTTGCTCTGATGGACGTATTTAATAATTATAAATGTTTAATAAATATAATAATGATATATTAGTATGAACAATGAACAATCCGACTGTGCACAGAATAAATAAGCGATATTACAAGTTAAGACCGGTTAAATCAGGTCAGTGCTTTCGATCATAAACTGCGCACGCGTCTCGTACCCTTAGCGCCACCCTGTTGAGGACTAAGGATACAATCTCAAACATAATACACCCTTTCGGCTCGCATTATTTCGAGATCGCTAGCGACGTCGGGATGCAATCTTGCCGATCGAAGAGTGCAGATGTACTTATTCACAGTGCGAAGTACGATAAAGTGCAAACGAGACAGAAGCGAATATTCGCGAATAAATTATATGGAGTAAATGCACCTCTAAAATAAATCGAGTAAATTAAAATAAATTAACAAAATAATTCACTTCTCAAAAAACGTCTTCGAGTGGAAAGTTCGTGGAAAAATACGTTGCTGTAAGTGTCCCGCATTATTATATTTATATTTTCAATATCATTAGAATATTGTATCAGATGTAATCACTTTATTGTAATCAATTGGATATAAATTAGTTCTTCGCTATTTGATATATATGTAAATCTAACATAAGTATAAAAATTTGTGTTGCAAATTTTGAATGCTTGCAGAAATTGTAAATATATTTAAATATTTAAATTTCTAAATTTCAAAACTTGAGAGAAGGGATTAGGGGAAAATCATTAAACTCTCAAATTCCCAAATGCAGTAATTGCATTAATCTAAATATTGATTTTCGTTTTGTAATTATTTTTATATTTTTTTGTTTATTTTGTTTTTATATTGTATTTTTATATTATTTTATTGTTTCGATTGTTAGTTATAGTCGTATGTTAGTGGACTTAAAATAATTTTTATAATCTTGTATGTGTGTTCTGCATGTTATATTTTTAATTTTCATTTAAATTTGTACCATACTTGTACAAATAAATAAATGTAAGATCCTGTCGCGGTGTTGTACTAAAAATTTTTTAAATAGTGAAATATTCGATAATTTTACATGCGAGATTTTATTTATTAGCTGTTCTATATGGTGACTATATGTACGAAGCATACTGGAAAATTATTTACTCCATTTAACATCTGGGCGACAAGCGTTACTTGGGTTCAGCTCTTTAGCTTTCACTCGTTTTTCTTGTCGCGAATTATTTTTAATTTGTGTATGAATCATTTCTTATTTGCAAAATCTCTTTAATTCTTT